AAGAGATCGACATTGAAACATAGTTTGTCAAGTACTCGACAGGCTGATTCTTCAGGGCTCATTTCAGATAGCTCTTTGCTTTCACAGGGAGAAAACCCAGGTGCGTAGGTTCTACCCAGCCATTAGTCTTTGAGGAATCTCTGCTGAATGACTCATCACCTCTTGCATCAGTGTTTGACATCTGACCTAAATCTCTCAAGCTGCAGTTGCTGCTCACCTCCCATCTCCCAGACTCTAGCAGGAGAGGACAGCTAACTAGTCTTTAAGCAGCAGTGGCCAACTAGAAACTAGAATTTATTAGATACTGCAGTAAAAGGAACCACCATAAAGTCACAAAATCCCCACTGGTCTTTCTGTCCTTTTTCAAGAACAGAATACCTGTTATTTCTCTAGGAAAACGTGGAAGCTTCAAGTCCTTCAAGACAGGAAAGAGATACTCTTCCCTATCCCTACCTGCTTGGATAGCTTTTACACACTTATTTTTGGACACAAGAATGAAGAAAATTCAGAAAGCCCGTCCAATCCGCAGAGTCCAAATAACCAATGCCAAATCAAGCACAGATTTCATTTTAAAGTAGCTGGGCCATGGAATCAAAGTGAAGAAGTAATAACATGGATGACTGTATCCTAGAGTCCTACTTCACTATGGTCACTGAGACAAGATCACTTTAATCCTCCATCACACCACCAAGTGACATGCCCAGTCTCCTCCTTACCTCTTGGCGGGGCTTGGAAGGAGGTGTCAGGCATCTTGGATTGACAGCAGGCTTGGGGGGGATATACTCAGTCACAGCCATCAGCTTCTGCCGCTCAAAGTGCATCACGCGACGGTGGCGGGTAACAGCTTTGGAGCCACGACGGACAGTTTGGAGGGTGGGCAGCCTGCCTAGGAGGAGAAATTGCAATGCAGTGAGATGCAGCCCCTTCTGGGGCCTTTGTCTGTCCCAGAAGGAGAAAAAGCCCATCCTCTAGGCAGAGACAACCCTGGCTCACAGAGCTAGACTCAACACAAGAGTAGGATGAAGAATTTCCTGCCAGAAATCCTGAATCCCCAAACCTTCTCTTCTCTCAGTGGGTGACTTTAGGTCAGTTGCTCGATCCTTTGAAGCTCTCATTTCTCTAGCACTTCTTTATGCACAGAGATAGGGGTAAAGATGAAGACCAGAGAAAATATTCTGAACACATTAAAAAAGGAGGGGGAGAGGGTTGAGCAAACTTTTTCTTAAATTGCCAAATAGTAACTATTTTAAGAGCCAAACAGTCTCTATCACCACTACTCAAGTCTGCCACTGTATCATGAAAGCTGTCATAGATAATATGTAAACAAATACACGTGGCTGAGTTACAATAAACATTATTTATAAAACATGGTGACTGCCATCATTTGCCAACCCATGGTCTAAATCAGTGGCCTCCAGCCCCAATCAACAACATCAGCAGCACCCAGGAATTTCTTAGAAATACCAGTTTTCAGGCTCCATCTTAGACATACTGAATCAGAAGCTCTGGAGTGGAGCCTAGCAGTGTTTGAATAAGCTCTCCAGGGGACGCTGATGCATGTGAAGTTTGAAAGCCACTGCTCTAAGCACTGCTCTGAAGCCTTTTCCCATGATTTGAAGCAAAAAAGAAAAAAAGTTACACCACGCTCACAACTTCCCCTAAACAAGTCTTCCTTCCCTCCGCTCTTGTTTGTTGTCATCACTGGAGAG